GAACTTCGCGCGTTGACGACTGGAGCCACAGTGAAGTTCAAGGCTGAACACATCTGTGCTTAGAAGGGGTGGGATGGCTCCACCTGACCCGGACAGGCCTTCTACTTTTTTCATCTTTTCTTTTACATTGGCATGATAAACAAATATTTGTTTGTGGTAGCTGTAGGCAAAGGCTGTGGCAAACAACCCCCCCCATTGGCCGTCGAGCTAGCCTGGGCCAACCAGCATGCCATCCTGCCACTTACCTCTGCCCCAACAGCCAGCTACACAACAATGGCGCCCAACGTGTCAATGAACATTAGTTTTTGTTTAGTAAGTTGTCTCTTATATTTTTTCTCTTTTTCATTATTTTCTTTTCTATCGGACTGGTTAGGATTTTTATCATAGTAACGCGACTAAGGCATTTTACTTGGTTAGCTGTACCAGATAAAACATATATGTATGTAGGGGGGCAGCAAAACTTCGCTTTGGAGTACCTGTAGCACACTGTGGTAGGCTGAACAGTGGAATCCAAAGGCAAGGATTGTGAGTTTTTTTTTTTAATCTATTTTATTTCTTTTTGAGCGAAAATTGGGGTTTAAGCTACCGGGCGTAGGATTCAACATCTTATGTACATTCGTGAGGTTTATCCGAAATTTTCAATGGGTATGTGGGATTCGAAAATCAACGTTAAATAGTGGGGTAGCCGTATTTTGATGCAAATAGCTGAAATATCGTTGTGCTGCACTATTTGAGGGGGTTAGCTGACATAGACAATGGACGGCGGACAGACGGATCAAAAGCACCCACGATGACCTCTGCCGAGGGCAACACCAAACACACACCAACAAATGAATTGAATTTTATAATTTACACAAAAAAAAGAAAAAAAACACATTTTTTCTATTCTTTTATTTGAATTCAGCATTTTTACAAGGTCTCTTAACGAAAATTTAGTAGGTTGTATTTATGGATTTTTAGTCATTATTCTTTTTATTATTACCCACATTTAGTTTCCTTGGTGAAATATTTTTACACTTACTTCCTTTATTTTTTATCATTTAAATTTTTATTCTTTTAATTATTCACTTTTATTTTTATACGAATAAACCTATTTTTGATTAAAATTCTACATAAACATATATAAATAATTTTGATCAGTTCTGGTGGTTAGTGGTGTTCTCTTCCTGTTGCATGATAGAAGATTCGTTTTTGTTGT